TGCTTACCAACAACAACAACAACAACTACTACTACTACTCCTTCTCCTCCTCCGGCTGCGACAGCAGCCGCTGCTGTGCTGCTGCTACTACTTCGACGATGATGACCGTTCCGCAGCGGGCGCTTTTGTTGGTGGTATCGCTTTTCCTGCGACGAATGCCAGGGCACCACAACGACGATCGACCAGATTCCCGGTCTTAGTATGTCTTAGTGCTTTATCGGTAGCCTGCTGCAAGACGTCGCAAAGGCCGGAGCATGGCAACGTTACGTTCCCCGCAGAATTAAACGGCTATTGCAGTCTTCGTAGTATGCCAGCGTGTGCAGCTTGTTTTTTTGTTCTTTTGCGCTCCACTGAATGACGGGTAGCATTGATTCATAGAACACCAGCCGGTTATTTCGTTCAGATTCTCCGAGAGGTACCCGGGAACCCCAGAAGCAGCCTTCGAAAGGAATGGAGGCACCAACGACGACATTGCCGACTGGATCACTGGCGACATGGGGCGCACGCCACCGGTGACGGATCTCTGAGCCCTAGGACCTAGGAGGAGCCAACAGAGGAGCTTGCGTCTTGTGTAAGACATGAGAGTAGGACCGACTGTAAGAATATGTTGTCTTTATATATATATATATCTGTATTGCAACATATGTGTATACACACACACACACTATATATATATATATATACGCATATGCACGCATGTGTACTGTATATTCTAAGGTTACGACTAATATACTTTTTATGCTTGAACAAATCGTATCATATACCGTAAAATGTAGTGTATGCTGTGGCTGTCACCGGTCATCAGCTCCTCGGAGCATTGGGCGCAAGCTCCCGGTTCAAGCTCAACCCCGATGTCGGTCGAATTCGCAGGCAGAGGTTTGGGGTTTAGGGTTTAGGCTGTAGGGCCGTTTACTGAGTCCCGAAACCAGAGTCCCGAGCCTGCAAGAAACAGGCGGATACGGATGATTTGATAACCTCTGCCGTCTGCTTGAGTTCAAATTACCGGCCTTTGCCAGCGGGGGTCGATCACGTAGCATATGCATTTAAGTCTGAAGGCATAACTGCATGTGCACACATAGATACATACATACATGCACATGCACACCTTCGTGCATGAATGCATGCATGCATGCAACACACTCATTTACTTATAGTCTTAAAGTGGTTCGTATGTTCTTGCATGCTCTCTGTCTCTGTCCCTTTCTGTCTACATGTATACATAGATATATGTACATAGATGCGCCAACATAAATCAGACGAGGGAATATGAGTTGGAGGCCACATGTTTCACATCCCCGCGGAAATCATTGCTAGAGCTGCATGGGTGCAGCGTTGAGGGTGAATGGTGCGGTGCTCTCTTCGATCGATCCTCCAGTGCTCGGTGCGTGAAGCAAGGACAAAATCGCACCTCGCTAGCACGGCGGGCTGTACAAAAAGGACTCTGAGTCGAAGATTTGGTTATGAGAGGTGTATAGAGGCGTGGTTTTAGTGTCGTGTACACGTCGACACATGTGTGCAGGTGGCATGATCAGTTACAGATCATGCGATCGCCTGGGTGGGTATCAACGACTAATTATGGTATTCGGGCTGCAATAATTAGTATAGACACTTCAGATTAACTAGGCTACAAACATCACTTCATCGCGGGCCAAGCTTGAAACGACGGTTCTTTTCACGACCTGCACCCTGAGAGACGAGGGTAATGCCAGTAATGATGACCGGTGTACTACAGGAATGGATTTGGTTATTCTCCTGGGTTCATGTTTGGGTCGCATGGATTTTTGAGAATTTTGGACACAGGGGACAAGAAGCGTCAGACTTAGGATCGGATAGTATGGGGGCCTCAATAATTACCTGTGGTAATTTTTGGGGCTTCCTTTTTTATAATTATAGCATGATGGTCCCCAACACCCTATTCTACTTATTAAGGCCCCTACATTAGTCTAGTCTTGTCTTTCCGACTGCACAGCTTTGAGTCGGATTCTATTTTTGGGCTTTAGGGTTTAGGGTTTAAGGGCCCCCCAAGGCAGAGTCTGGGTTCAAAAAAGGGCCCCCCCAAGGAAAGTGCCTCCTTCCCAGCCTTTCCAGTCGCGTGCCCGAAATTAAAACGACAAAGATCAGACCCGGACGTAAGCCTTCAAAGAAGAACACCTTGCCGTGAACCTTCCCATGACCCAAACCCTAAAGCCCTATACCCAAAACTCCAGAGGGAAGGGGTAGACATGACGTGCTGAATCGGCGAGCCGAAGGTCTTGTCCTTCTGCTTTCCTGCCAAACCATGGGCTTTTCACGCCCTGGCCGTGGCAGCAGGCACAGGGAGAACGGCTTAGATTCAGCGTTTGGGTGATTTTTTCACTTTTGACTTCGTTGGGAGGCTAATCATTGGAGGTGGATTGAAGGACATACGTGTCATGGATGGCACTGCTTCACTTGCTCGACAGCTGGAAGGAAGTGCAGAGCCCATCCGCACTGCTGCTCGAGGGTGTTGCGCAGCCGCCAACTGTAGAGCCTGAGGCGTCTTTAACAGGAAGACGTAATATAGGGGCCTAAATAATTACCTACATTATTTTGGGGATTCCTTATTATAGCTATAGTATAATATACCCCAAAACCCTGTTCTAATTATTAAGGCCCCTACAGTAGGTACGGAAGCAGCCCTTGCTTGACTGTGTCGGGCATTGCTGGGCGCCTGGCCAGTCCCGTCCATATGACCGCACGTTTGCGTCGCCATGCTGCCAAATTTCATGGCCGCTCGAGGAGACAGCGGCAGCATGTGGTACGGAAATATCTCCAAGCCTTGCGTGGCTTCGACAAAGCTGCCGCGCAGCAGCATGCTGCCCATGTGGCAGGATGGTTAGCCTACGGCCCCAAAGACTATTCTCCGAAAGAGGCAGAACTGTGGCTGCTGAGCAAATTTCTGGACAGGCTCGGGAAGGGCGTCCTTCCTGGCCGCTTGCAGCAAGCGCTGCCGGATGTGCTGGTGAAGTTGCAGTCGTTGCGTGGAGGCCCATGGGCAGACCAAGCATGGGCGCAGGCTGCCGATGCTCTGGCGAAGAAGCTGAAGAAGTTCCGCTGCTGCCGGCGGGAACCCGAAGAGGGCCCGCGACCAGTCGCTGGAAGCCAAAAAGCACCCAAAGAGTGTGCAGATCAGAATGCTGACCGAGATGGTTTCGAAGAGGATATGGAGCCTGCCGCCAGAGGCGTACAAGCAATGGAGGCGCCGCCGCATCCAGAGTCCGGCGGCTTGCAGCGGCTTTTCCGGAAGAAGGCTGAGTGGGTGAACATGCAGCAATCCGAGCGGGCAGAGTGCTTGCTCCGGGCAGAGGCTGTGGAATTATCCCAACAAGGCATTGCGCAAGGCAAGCTGACCAAGATCTTGTACCAGGTGGCCGCTGCCTTGGCCCCTCCACACAGGGCCGCACTGCCAATGGACCAAG